CTTTGGAAAAAAAAAAAAAAAAAAAAGGTGATCTCAGCTGCCAACACCAATGGTAACTGTGCTGCAGGGCAGTAGTTCGGCTTAAATGAACAATGCATTTGCTGTTGGAGGAAAGAAAAGACAGCCCTCTTCGTGTGCATTGGCCTGAGAAGTTCGTTGGGCAGAAAAAGGGACTGTTTTCCGATATTTAATGGAAACTGAAAGATTTCATTCGGGAGTGCTAGAGCACTGCCGGGACTCCTATAGATATTCGTGCCAGGCATGTTTAGGTGTCACCTCCGTGAAGTGACTGCTGCGTGAGGCCCTAATTAAGCTCATTGCCACCGCTGGAGAACATCCCTGCTGCAACCACTTGATGTGTGCCTAAGAACCATTTAAGGGGGCACACTGGTCTTCGGGACCAAAAAGTGACAAAAAAAATTCATGTTTTAAAATTAACATATTTGGTTATTGCTGGTATTTTTCCATCTCTCTGTAAATTTTCACACACCAGGAAGTGGTAATTTTTTTGTAATGTCATTCTAACTGTCCTGTTAACAAGCAGAACCTGCAAACAAATGGGGAACCGACTTCTAGTCTTCTTTATAATTTGCCGGCACCTGTGTTAGCTCTGCTACGAATTTATGAGCACTTTTATGAGGATTGCAAAACATGCGCACCATAATTGTTGCTTTTTGGAAAAGCTGTGTGTTTTCAGTTTTTTCCATTTTTCTCAAAAAAGTAAATTTACGACTGTTCAATTTTGAGGCCTCAATATCTCTGCAGCTAGGGCTGGTACAACGATAATTCTTTTTGCAATGGAAACCTGTATGTGTGTGGAAATTGTAACATAATTTCAACTGATTTGAACATGAATAGTTATTTTTGCTGTAAAATAACTAATAAAGGCCTAAAAACAACAAAAAACCTCTTTCACACTTTCATATCTATAGTCATTTATCTATGGCAGCCCTAAACATTAGAGGGTGAACTTATCTCAGGTACAAGATGAGTAGCAGGAAAACTAATTAAATATTTGAAATCATCAGTAAAAACTACATAATCCTGTGCAGTTTGATCAAGATCACTGAAGAAATAAACAAAAAACTGTCCAAAACCAGTCTGCCACCTTAAGGACCACGTCAAGCGCATGTATATGGAGTGGGTAAGGTCCTGAGAGCCTGATGTGACCCCGGCCAGACCATTGAAACGGGCTTCGCCGGCAGTGTTGTGCACATTGATTGGTGTAGATTGTGTGTGAATTTCTAAAGCGCTCATTCGTATTGGCTTTAAGGGGGGACGCGCCCTTTGAAAACCGAAAAATCGCGAAAAAGTCGATTTTTTGAAAACCATATACTCGGGCAGTATGACTCATAAACTGCCTCTACTGTAAATATCAATGTCTAATTCATCGCGAAAGTACGTCAAATAAATTTTATAACATGCCGCGGCAGCCGGCAAGCGGCGAGCGAGCGCCAAAAATACCCCAACTTCGCGCGCTCGCCATTTCCCAACCGCTCGGCCTATCGCCGCCATCTTGATGTTGTTTTGCTCGTGAATTCTTGCGCTTTTTTTTTTTTTGCCACCCGCGGCAGTGGCGGTGGCGCTCCGAGGCGGGAGTGGCTCACGATTGGGGGGCTCGCGGAAGCTTTCGAATGTCCCGCTGCCTGGATGCGAAGCCGCGATTGGACAAAGCGCGCGCCTCTCGAGGGAATGGGGGAACGCGCGGCTCCTATTGGCTGCTGCGCGCGATGACGTAGCTGCTTCTCCGGCATGCGCCGGCTCGTCGTCTGCACCGGCGCTTGCAATGCCGGCGTTCTTTGTGTGCCCCGTTTGCCATCATTCCGATCGGTCGTCACACGTGCTCCTCTATCTTCTACCGTCTTCACGAGACGATCTTCTACCGTCTTTACGAGACGATCACTACCGTCCTCACGAGACGATCTTCCGCCGTGTTCACGGGACGCGGATTGTTGCGCTGACGGTCACGATGGGCATTTCGAAGTTCAAGACTCGGCACGCGTTCGGTTCAAGAAAGCGTCAGCTGAAGCTCGTACGCATGGCGAAGCTCACCTGCACGCCCACGCGCGGCGACTGTTGCACCGATGCTTCCGCTTCATCTTTTCAAGACGATTGCGTCGACGCTTCTAGCGACAAGACTTCTACACCATCGGCACAAGGATCTGTCGTGACGAGTGAGGCTGGTGTTTCGGGCTCAAGTGCGCCTGGTGTGTCGCGCTCGCCAACCGCATTGATTCCGGCCCCGAACAGTGAGACCGCGTCGTCGACTGTGCACTTCCAAACATGTTTTCGGACGTGCGAGGAGTTGGCGACGGCGGAGAGAGAACGTGCTGCTGTGCAACGAAAGCTTGGCGCTATGCCAGCGACCGAGAGGAAGTTTCAAGCAATGATGCCTGAACCCGAAGCTGCCACCGCTACGACCGAAGGCGAGAGATATTTCCTCGTGCAAGGGGATGCCCTTAGCGACATGCTGTCCAAGACCCCGTGCCCGCGCTGCCTCGCGACCGGGATGAAAGTTCAAGGAGGCACCCAGCTTGGACTTGCCACGAAGCTTGAGCTGGTATGTCCACATTGTGCAATAGTTTCAAGTTCGTAGAGCTCTGCTCGTCAGAACGAGTCAAGGGCCTTCGACGTGAATATAAGAGCCATTACGGCTATGAAACAAATAGGGAAGGGACAGACAGCCCTCAACGACTTTTGGGCAACTATGAATGTTTCCCACCGTGGCCTGCACCACAGAACTTTCCAGAGGCACCTGAAGCAATTCAGAGAACCACAGCAACAGACCCTGGATAAATTTTATGAAGAATCGGCTGCTGCTATGAAAAAGGTGTACAAGGAGATGGCGCCATCTTTCTGCAAGGACATTACAGTGAACCATGATGGCACGTGGCATAAGCGCGGGACATACATCTCACATTGGAGTTGGTGCAATCATCGAGTATCACACAGGCCTCATCTTGGATGCTGTAGTTTTATCGAATCAGTGTCTCGGCTGCCAGGTAGGACCGAAGCCTGAAGACGAGGGCTATGCAAGCTGGTTGAAGCACCATGTGTGCCAAAAAAACACTGATGCCAAGTCTGGGAGGATGGAGGTTGAAGCAGCTGTAACTCTGTTCTCACGTTCACTTTCCAAGCATAACCTCCGGTATACAACCATTGTATCTGATGGGGACAGCGCCACATTCTCTGCCCTTCAACAAGACAATGTTTATGGGCTAGTCCCTATTGTGAAAGAAGAATGCTTGAACCATGTCCGGTAGAGGATGGGCACAGCCCTACGTAATCTTGTGCAGAAAAGCGAACAGGCTCTGGGAGGGAAGGTCAGATTGACAAAAGCCCTTATTGATAAACTCACAGACTATTATGGCTGGGCACTGCGGAACAATTCAAACAATGTGGCTGCAATGCAGCGTGCAGTGATGGCGTCATATTATCACGTCACCTCAACTGACGAGGATCCTCACCATGACTTGTGCCCGGAAGGTGCAGACTCGTGGTGCCGTCATAATGCCTGCAAGGGGAATGGCGTGCCACCTCCAAAGCACAAATACAATCTTCCGGGCTACGTTGCAGAAGCGCTGCTGCCAGTCTACCAGCGCCTTTCGCAGGCTTCTCTACTGCAACGCTGCCTGGGAGCAAAGACGCAAAATGCATCGGAGTCATTCCATTCTGTCCTATGGTCCTTGATGCCCAAGGAGCAACATGCATCATTGATTGCTGTCGAGACAGCACTGCATGACGCAGTTTTGCGGTATAATGCCGGCTGCTACAGGGCCACCCAAGAGTTGTCGTCATCAGTGGGACTCGCACCTGGCCACCTAACCATTCAACGAGCTGCGGAGAAAGACTCTCTGCGTCTGAGAAAGGCTCAGAAACGGATGAATGAGAAGCAGGAAAAGCGGCAAAGAAAAAGAGAGCCTAAGGACACATCTAGCTACTCTGCAGGGTCATTTTAGACCATAATAAATGTTCGAAACTTTCGAAGTCAATTTTCTCAGAATTACTTTTTTGGCCAGTGAGGCTGCTTAGTCAGGTGATCTCTCTGGAACTGCTGGTCTGATTTCTATCAGGTTTTTTTTTATTATGCACCTTAATAAATTGCCCAGGGCAAGACAAGCCTGCTTTTTCAATTTATTGTGTCTGTAATTTGTAATAATTAACTAAAACTTCATTGATGAGAGCCAAATTGTGAACACTAAATTCAGTGCTCTGCTAACATTTTTTGGCAAGGAAATTTAAAAAAAGGGCTCTGTCTTGCCCTAAAGCACCTATCCAGGAATCATCATAGTGAATTTCACAGTGCTAGCACATTTTTCAAATTCTCCAGACCCTGACTAAGGGACCCATGTGGACAACCCTGATAAATGGCTGTAACTTGGGAACCAGTGAACATAACTGCATGAAACTTTGTGGTTATTCAAATGGCTTTGCTATTAGTGTACCCTGAAAATTTCATTAAGATATCTCAACAAACAAAAAAGTTGCCCTTCGAAGGTAGCCTCCCCCCTTAAGAAGTGCTCGATTTCAGATGCTCTGACGGCACTAAAGATGGGGTGCTGTGGGATGTCATCTCTGACAAGATAGTTTCGGAATAAAGTGTGTCGGACGACGATGAATAAGTGCGCGAATAAATGTACACATTTGGTTTCTGCTTGGCTCAGGCTACATTAGGATGAAAACTTCTTTCTTTACATTTGCTATCCCTGAAAATACACCTCAGACTATGTGCCGGCCCTGACTATACCCAAGTTTTTACAATATAAGGGCAGAAGCATTTGGGCATAAGTTCTGGCCGCTATAGCTCTTGCTGCCTCAAGCAGGCACTTGAAATTTCAGTTTCTCATAATGTTTGCCTTCACATGCTTGCCTGATTGACAACAGCTGCTTTGAAATGGGGGCAGTGAAGTCAAAACAGCTGGTGTCCAGACCCATTGCTTTTCATAGTGCGTGAAACATTGGGTATAGATATAACATGCTTGTGTTCCCGCTTTGTGCAGGTGGTGACTGAGAAGTTACCTGATGACAAGTACTTGGTACTGTTCATAGACTTTGGCAACAATGAGCAGCTACCAGTGTCATCGCTGCGTCCGCTGCCACCACGATTTGCAGAGGCACCGTTGTTTGCCTTCAGTGTGGTGCCAGAGAATGTGCGACCAGCTGACCCACGACTTGCTTCCCTGCTGGAGCAGGAGCCCTTTGCAGTGGTGCAAGTGAACAAGACTCGATCAGGCGTGCCGATTGTTCGCCTTGAGCGCAAGGATGGCACCTGCCTCAATGACCTCATTCGTGGTGTTCGCCCCAAGGTAACCCATGGCAATCGAAAGCCACCTGGAGTTGTGGAAAATGTTGCAATCATCCATGAAGTTCATAGAACACACTTCTTATTTATAGCTAATTACCAGAGCTCTTAATATCTGTGCTATATATAAACTGTGTTGTACTAAGGCTGTTTTCTTCAAAAAATGTTGCACTGGGAATTTATATGACCCTTGGATCTTCTAAAGTTGAAAATGTCAAAAGGATACTGTCCGAGAACTTATAGTGTTGTTCACCAAATAGATTGGGGGATTTTAGCAAATTTTTCAGACCTCTGGAGAATATATTAACCTTACTGCAACACTTATGCTATCTCCACAGAATGGATGTAAAACTGACAAAAAGTCTGCGCACTTCCAATTTCTAAAATGTGTTTATTGTGTCGAATGGTGATTGCTAACCAAGTTGCTACCATTTTAGTGTTTATTGTGCCACTACACTCTAGCTTGTAGCCAGCATGACTTTTTCATTTTTCATTTGCTATCACTGCAAGGGATTTCACCGACTGCGTCAAACTGTGACAATAGCTGCCTGCTGCCATCACTGTATTTACTCAAATCTAGGCCGCCCTCGATTGCAAGCCGACCCTCAAAATTCGCAAGCGCCCTCTCCCTCATCCAAAAAAAAAAGGAAAGAGAGAGAAGCTTATTCCGAATGCAGAACAAATGAAAAAAATGCTGTTTTATTAGCAGGAAACTCAGCATTTTTATTGTTTAAGTATACATTCTTTTCGTGAATGCCGAACTTGTGCCGCACTTGCACGTTTTAAGTTCTCTGCGTCAAAAACGACGCTGTAGTAGCCCTGCTTGGTTGGTGGTGCCATCGCTTCAAAGGCACATGTGGCTCAGGTGTTTTGCAAGCACGTCGTGTAGGCGCAACTCTTCCAAAACTTTACCAATGTGACTGTACTAAACGATCGCTTTCAAAAACCATCCAGCTCCGCGCTCCTGCTGTCAGACGCGGGAGGAGATGGTGCCAAAGTGCATGGTGATCACTGGTGCTGTAATCATGCGACATGATCCACCCTTGCTGGCATGAAATCTTGCCGGCATAACAACCCTTGCTGCATGAATGGTCATTTTCAAATTTCACAGGTTATTTTGGCATAAAATTTAAAATTAGACTTTAGGAATCGACCGTGAGATTTTCGAACAACAGCCTGTACGAAGCAGACAATGCGGTTTGCCTGTGTAGCGATAGGGACCACCATTTCCCCGCTGTGCAACGCTCCCATAGGATGTCGCGAAAATGAACCTCGGACGCCCATGGAAGCCCGAGATCGACACATGGCAAGGCGTCGGGCCACTCGTGTGGTGGGGCTTTTATGTATGCTGCGGCTGCGATCAAACCATGGTATATGAATCGAAGCTGACCCCCACTTTCACACTTTTTTCTTTTTATTTTGCGTCAGCCTAGAATCGAGTAAATATGGTACTATGAAACCGGACTAGTGCCACGCAGCATGTCTATGTGAAGTCATTGTATTTATATGACTGAAAGTCCACTCCAATGTAAGGTGACACCCATAAAAATTACTCGAAAGGGGTAAGAAGAAAGAGAGAGAAGTGGGCACATTTCGTCTGGGACATTTATTTTAAATCATTGCTTGACGGAATATACATGTTTACTTGTCATCGTCAAGCCAGCCCTCTTCATAAATTTTGACCCCCAGGCACTGCCGGCCTTATGTACGGTCTTGGCATTCCTGTTTATAATGTGAAGGTGTGGGTTTCTTTTGAGACAATGTTGTGCGCCATCAGGAGAAACTGACACTAATTTCACTCACGGATGATGCAAGCAACGAAAGGTGTCCAGAATTCTGTCCTGAAAAACCTTAGCACTTGTATGCCAGTTAAGCTTTGGTTACGCTGCAATTGGCCACTGCCGCTCCGTCCATTGAAAAGCTCCTCTAACTTGCTGCCAGCCTCGTCCATGTTTATTCTTCCACCGTACCGAATGCATTACCAATCTCACTGTTGTTTTCAGCAAGCTTCTAGTGATGGCATGCCAGGTTGCAACTCACATGTTAAAGACTAAACAGTGTTAGCTGGCTTGTCGGTAGTGGCCGCGAACTATCAATATTGTGGTTTGGTGCCAAGTCAATGAAACATTTTTCACCTGCAGCATTTAGAAAGGGTGGCTTACATTGTCAGTGAAAGCGAGGGCGTGCATATACATGGTTGCTACTGTTTTTGACACTGCACACACGCTCGAAAAATAGAAAATGTGCCGAAATTTATATTGCCGTTTGACGTATAGTTTCCGCACAGTATGAAACCGCGGTGAAGTCCTCATAAACAAGGAGGTCTGAAAAGTTAGTCGGCATACCATCATGGCGCTTTTTCGTTTTCCCTCCCTGCATTCCTTATGTCAGCATCAAAATCTTCGACGCTATCGGTTCAGTATTTTCACAGTTAAGCATGCATTCACTGCATGCCAAAGACCTGACGTAACGACTATTGTTCAACACTAATTTATTCTCTTGGTAGCTCATTCCCCCCCACTCCCGGTTGAGGGGGTCGATTTTATGTTCGTGAAGCTGCTGCAACTACTGGTATTAGTTGCAGTTTCGATTGTAAGTCGACCTTAAAACTTCGGACTTCAAACTTAAATAAAAGAAGCTGACCAATAATTGTGTAAATACGGTATGCTTCCACTGTAGCAATGTAGGAATTGGGTGTGAGAGATTGAACAGGTGCACATGGGGGCAAGAACTTTGGCTCGAGGGGTGCAGGCCTGCCGTGGGCAAACTTGGACGCACAAATGAGCGCTCATTCTTGCCCCGCACTCGCCAGGGACTTCAAGCATGCCATGTGCGCCGCCACCACTTTGAAATCTGCTGGCAACAGGGCAACTGCTGAAGATGCATGTGGCTCCTCTTCAGGCCAAACGTGACAAAATTCGGAGTTAAATCTCATTGGTTGTTGGCTGCGAAAAGTCACTATATGAAAGGTGCCTCTTGCTGTGCTGCTTTGCTACATAGAGGTCGCAAAAGTATGCTATGATGGAGTAACGGGGGAGAATAGAAAAACTTCGTAATATTGAGGAATTTGTTGTAGGTAGGTTTGTTATAGGCCAGTTTAACTGTACTGCTATATTGTCTATTTTATAGTCATTTTCAATGTTCGCTTTATGTACTGACGTATTGATTATTGTTCAACACTAATTTATTTTCTTGGTAGCTCATCCCCCCCTTCTCCTCCCCCCACCCCTGGTTGAAGGGGCTGTTTTTTTTGTCCTGATGACTTGGTGAAAGCTCTGAATTCCATTTGCAGGAGTGTGCATCACTGGCAGCTGATGGCCTGGCAGACCAAGCAGATCCGCAGAAGGCTCCTGATGAGACCTCATCACCTACATATATAGCAGAGTGTCCAGTTCCAAAGAGCCCGTTTAATGCTGTGGTTTGCTATGTGGAAGGAAACCTTGTGTATGTTCAGCCACTCAACCGCTGCGCAAGCCTACTAAAGATTTCACAAGTACTAGGTGACAAGGCTCGGCGAGACCCTGGTTTTAAATTCAAAAGCTTGCCTGCTATCAATGAGTGCACACTGGCACTTTATTCAGAGGACGAGCAGTGGTACCGTGCCAGGGTGATTTCAACAGATGAAGCTGCTTGTACGGTATGCCTTTTCTTGTTTTTTGCCTTTTGCAGTGAGCTAATTTATGGCAGTTGCTGCTGCATGTAAATAGCAGCGAAGTGAGGAAATTGTTCTGTATTCTTACATTAAGATCAGGTATGGGCTAATATACTTGAATCTCATAATTTTGCACTCGCAACATAAGCATCTTCACTACTTCTGTTACACGCTCCGTGGAAACCCTTGCCGGCACCATAAACACTGAAAAGGGTCATCCTTCGCTCGATCAATTTCATTCATGGAGCAACAAAATGAAGCAACTAAGTGCAACTTCCTTGCAACTTCCATTGCCTTGTCTTGCGCTTTTAAGCCATTTGGCCTCCATAGACCATTTTCGAAATTGTAAAGCTAGCTTTCTTGCAATGCATTTAGCCCAATTTACGACAGCTAGTCACTACAAACAGCATGTCCAAGCGCAGTTTGATCGCTCTGCAACACAGGAATCGTCTCTCTTGATATCTTTTAGACAAGCCTCGGGACATGAAACTAGCACCTAGTCTCCACTTGAGAGATGACAGGTGCCACCAGTAGTCAGGTGAATATGCTGCACCAAGTAGTACACTTGCTGACTAAGAAGAGCGTCTATTGCGAAGCAGATTGCCCATGTTATCAATTTCAGTGTGTACACCTCGCTCTTTACTTCGCTAAGGCCAGCCAGGCAGTTAGGGCTCTTTGTTGTGCTGCTTTCTCTGCAGGTACGGGTTAAGTTTGTTGACTACGGCAACACAGAGAACATGACTGCCAAGTTGCTGCTGCCAATGAAAGAGGAACTTGCCATAGAACCTGCCTGTGCAATGGCTGTACAACTTGAAGGTGTGCCTGTGCTTTCGCCCCGGGCTAATGACTTCCTCCCCAAGGAGCCACTCGTAGTGGAACTGGTCAACAATGCCACGCCACCCCTGGCTCGCCTCACTCATAACGGGAAGTGCATCAACGCTGTCGCTGCTCCCAGGGATGCACCACTGGTCAGTGGCTTCAAGCACTTTGTCTTACCTACAAAAGCTTAAAGAAGGGTAATATACTAATGGTAGCTGTTAAGGGGTCAGTATACAGTGGACTCTCGTTAAACGGAACCTGAATGGACGAGGAAAATATATTCCATTTAACAGGAGTTCCATTTATTGAGAGGTGACCAGAGGAGCAGAATACAGGAATGAAATCACTCTTTTGAGGAGCACTTGTTCCATTTAACAAATTTACGTTTAGTAGGAGTCTACTGTAGTACCATTAACTACTTTGATAAAAAAGCTGTGCTCTGTACCTCACAATTCCTGGCTCTGGTCCTGGTTCTCTGTTGAAAGCTCCCTCAAAATGCTTGCCACTTTTAATAGAGAATCTTTCTTTCAACAGAACGGAGTTTGTATTCACTCCTGTGTTGCGTTGTTCTTATGTGATTTGCTTTTATCCCAACTGGAAAAGGCAATAGAAACCTTGTTTGATCAATTGTAAGTGGTATGCATGTTTAGATATGTCGATGACTACGTATGTGGTGGTTCGCATTTTGAGAAGTCCAGGCGATTTTGATTCAATCTTTAGTAAATCCTGATGTGTTTGAACGATCTGCTCCAAGCCTAAGCTATACTTAAGTGATGCCTGTTAATGATTACCTGCAGTTCCTTGACCTCAGTCTTTTTGTTGGAAAATGCATGTTCTGGAAGAAGGCCCAAAGCAAGAGAATGTGCTCTAGCCCGTCTCCTCTCTTCCACCAGAAAAAAAAAATTTCTGGCTATGGGCCTGGCTGAAATTACCAACCGCACTCAATGAAGGAAATTTTTGAACTATAATTTGGCACATACTAAGGTGGTTAAGTGTGGGATCACCTGCACGGAGGCCTCAAAAAGTTGTTCGAACACCAGTTGGCTGTGACTGATTGAAACACTTGAGTGTGGCTGGTATTTTACCACAAATTGTCACATTGGTGCTATAGTGTCTCCCGTATAGAGGTAAAGCTAAAGTGGCCTGTGGAAGAGGGTGTCCAGACGAAAACTGGATAAATAGCTGGTTGTTTTGCATTACTTGCACAACCTGTCGCACAGCCTCAAAAAGACTGCAGCCAAGTTCTATTCTGCACTTGGCGCTAAGTGTAAACAGCTTGTAGCGACAGAGGAAGACGGGACGGCGGCCAGCGTGGTCGTGTCGTTGTCTCGCCCCTTTATTATGAAAGGCGATTGCGGAAGCGGAGCAGCGGCGGCTGCAGCGTCCAAACCGCCAGGCGCGTGAGCACCATCACCTCCAGCTCGCGCCTCGAGCTGTGGCATGAGCTGCACGAGAGGCGCAGCGCGGTGGCTAGAAAAATGATGATGATGAATGGCGATGATGATGATGCTACAAGTTTTTCTGCATTTAAAAAGCTGTCCTGCATGTGCCCAGTTGTGAACAGCCGCAAGTGCAGAGGTCCACAGTGCTTGAAAATATCACTCTACCCAAATTATCTAGTGCAGTACTGGGGATGGTCAATTCTCCCTGTCATGTGGCAAATGTTGCATTGGCCAGACTGGTCATTGCATGAACGACAGATTTAGGAAATGCTGTGCACTGCCCAGGTGAATGTACAGAGTGGCTCTTTTAGCTGAACATTGTAAAATATGTCAATGTGTGCCAAATTGTCTCGGCACACGCGTTCTTGCGCGATATAAGGATGAAAAATGCAGTATTGTTCATGAGGTCTTCTGTATTATAAAAGAAAACAACCACTGTGTAAGCACTACCTCTATTGTGCCATTGCAGAAAGAAGCAGGTTATCTTTGTCAAAACTTACATAGTGTGATTTGGCATTTGTTCCCTGTTTTGGCATCTGTAGACGCATGGTGACTACCATATTTACTCGTGCAATGTATGCACTCGCATAATAAATGCACCCCCAACTTCAGTCGTCAAAATTGGGATTTTTTTTTTCCCGCGTAATAAACACACTCACACATTTACCCACTGCAGTTCTGCAAACCGACACCTAGCACCTCCTTGCCCGTTGGATCTCGTCTGTTTTTTATTATTATGCCGACGCCACTCGAGTCTCCCTCTCCCCCCTTCGCCCACCGCCGCACGCTGTATTGTGCGGGGCGCGTTCCCTGTATTGTTTATATATTAGTGCGCCACAGCACGGTTAACGAACGATGCCAGTATAGAGACATTTCAGCTGATAAGCAGGTCTCGAAACTACCCGCACGATTCGACGGTCGCTTCCTTCAAATACGAAACTTTAAGGCCGAACCACATGCACGCGATTTTAGAGTGACGACGACAGTATTTGCTGTCGCCATGACTGTCGCGAAGGGCCATTTGTTGCTATCATGTCTCTGGTTTCTGGAAAACCAGAAAAAGATTGCTTGTTGCCAGAAAAAAATCGTGACGATTTTCGCAACATGGTAGCACCCCTGATTCTCGGTTTGGTTGCAATTTGCTCTTCATACGTGTTATCCACGTGTACTTTAAGGAACGTAAGTTACAGGCTACCTTTTCTACAGTAACTTCCTATGTGGACAGCGTGGCGGCAGCTGTATTTTGTCGTTTATCTTGTTAACGACAGTTTGTTTTGATTCTCCCATGGTTGCTTGCTGCAATGTCAACGGCATCATCGTGGTCGTTGTGCAAGGTTGCCACGAAGTTTGCAAAGCGCGTCGTAGCGCACGCTTTTGGGCGCCCCTCAAGATCACAGCAGATAACACTGTTGCGGTTAAACAATTACTTAAAAAGAAAGCCACAAAATGCTTTTAAGGGGTGCGCCCGTGGTGCAGGGACAGCTTGCAGATGATAAAGCCTTCAACCACCGAGAATGGATGAAGGGCAACAATGGAGCTGTTTTCAGACAGTATATACATCTGTCAATTGCTAAAGGCTAAGCGTCTTTTTTTTTTTTTTGCATTGACACATTTTTTTGCCCATTCCCAAAATGTTCTCATCAAATTGGCTCCGCATAATGAACGCACCCCCAACTTTGCTCGCATTTTTCAAGAAAAAAAAATTTTGTTCATTACACGAGCAAATACGGTTTATAAAAGACTGTTCCATCTGTGCAATAAATTTAGCTGAACTCCCGCCCACCTTTTTTTTGTCCTTTTTCTTTTTGTGTTCACACTTTTTTTTTTTGTATTTCGCCCAAGCATTAGAAAGGCATCAGAGTTCACTTTGAGTTTGCACTTTTTTTTGTATTTCGCCCAAGCATTAGAAAGGCATCAGAGTTCAGCTGCTGGGATTATTAGGCTTGCAGCTGTTAAAAAAAAAGTTTTCTCTTTATCTTTTGTTCGAAATACTTCGGTTTAGAAAACTTTAGTGCAGTTGTCAAAAGCAATTTGTATTGCTTTTGTATTATTTTCAAAGCATGGCACTGACTTTTGCTTGTGTGACCTCAGCAGTCACTGCATTTACTTTGCAGACATTGTCACGCACCATGGATTAATGCTGTACTGCCTCCTCAAAGCACCGCATTTGTGCCCAATAGTTAGAGACTTGGTAGTTTGCAGTTAGGGAACAACGTTTCTGCATCACCTTACATTTTGCAGGAGACTGTCCAGAATGTACGGGGGCATTTGCCATCAGGTTGCACTGAGGCTAATGTTCTGCATTGTGTAGAATGGTAGCCTATGCATTTCTTCTCTGCTGTTGGCAGTGAAACAGTGAAACAGCTATGATAGAAGCTAGCTGCATGTGCCGCCAAGTGGTATGTGCCTGAGAAAAGGGCTATTGGTGAGATTGTAAGCACAGGTCTTACTCTGGACTTGCTTATCACATAGCCCAAGAACAAAAGTTTCGCATACGCAAAGCGGCACTTTTCTGGCTTCAAGGCGAGTCTGGAAGTCTTAATGGCTTGAAGTACAGCTTCAAGGTGCCGAAGATGTTCGTCGAAGCTTGAGGAAAACACGATGACCTCGTCCAAGTAAACGAAACAAGTCTGCCACTTTAATCCTGCCAGCACTGTGTTCATAACGGGTTGAAAAGTTGCATGGGCTGAGCAAAGACTGAAGAATATGACCTTGAACTCAAAAAGGCTGTCTGGTGTTATAAACGCAGTCTTTTCTCGGCCTCTCTCGTCTACTTCGATCTGCCAATAGCCTGTCTTGAGGTCCATCGATGAAAAGTATTTGGCGTTCGAGTCGATCAAGGGCGTCATCTATTTGGGGGAGAGGGTATACATCCTTCTTCGTTATCTTGTTGAGTCAGCAATAGTCAACGCAGAAGCATAGTGTTCCATCCTTTTTCTTCACTAACACCACCGGTGACACTCATGAACTCTTTGAAAGCTGGATATTGTCGTTACGGAGCATTTTGTTGACTTGTTTCTTTATGGCCTCGCGGTCTCGTGTCCAAACTCTGTACGGACTCTTGACGGAATGGCCTGGCATTTTCTTCTATTACGATTCGATGTATCGGGACAGGTGTCTGTCGAATTCTCGATGACGAGGAAAAGCAGTTCTTGTGTTTCGGGAGCAGGTTCTCGAGCTATTCTTGTTTATGCGTTGGGAGGCTCGGATTAACGTCGAACACTGGTTGAAGGGTTTCAGTCGTAAGAGTAGATTCGGCGGAATCGTTGAGGGCTAAAGCACTGCTGGCTTACAGTATCTCTTCGATGTAGGCAACTGTCGTGCCTTTGCTCACGTCCTTGTACTCGTAACTGAAGTTTGTGAGCATCACTCTTGCGCTACCTCCTCGCCTTGCATATCTGTTTATTCTTGAGTGTCGACGGAAATGCTGGAGCGAGGAGAAATAGTGACTTGGTCTTCCAACACATTCAGAGTGTGCCTTCCTGATGCAATGCTTTTTTTGTGGGTATTGTTATCGACTTTGTTCTCAGGTCGATGACCACATCGTGGAGGCTCAAGAAGTCCATTCCATGAATGACATCTCACGAGCAATGCTGCAGTACGATGAAGCTTGCGGGATAAATGCTGCTGTTAATGGTCGCTATAGCTGCGCAGATTCCCGCTGGTGTCACTAGGTGACCTTCGGCTGTACGGATTTCAGGGCCTACCCAAGCTATCCTGACTTTTTTCAACTTCGCGACGAAAGTCCCACTGATGACGGAATAGTCCGCTCCGGTGTCGAGAGCTGTGACGCTATGGCCGTCGATAAGAATGTCGAGGTCGCAAGTTCGTCGCCTGTTGTTGCGGTTGGCTCGCGGCGTCCGATCACGGCTACGATGGTTTGCATTGCTGTTTCGACATTGCGTAATCAGGACTTCTTCTGGTCCTGAAGTTTCGGCGTCGGGGCTACGTTGAGGTGATTGAAGTTTCATCGTGGTGGTGTCAGCGGCGGCAGAGGATCTTCGGCAGTTCGTCATGCAGCAACCGCACCTCTATCGGTTGCTGCCCTTAGTTTTCCTGGCTAGGCGACTGGCCCAGACTTAGGCCAGCGTACTGACGACTGCGCGGTGACTTGTAGCGGCCGCGTGAAGGTGAATGAGAAGATTCTCAGGGTGTCCTCTGCGTTCCGGCGAGATAGTCGCGATGTCACGTGGCCAGCTTCCCCGCAGAGAGGCCGGTAATCGGCGGTGCGCCACATGTCAGTTTTTCTTTGAGCATTGCGCTGGCCGGCGGGTGGACGATATGGCGTCGGTGGTGGCGGCAGTGGTGTCTGGCGACGAAAATGCATGCGGCACGGCCTTTTGACTGTGGACGTGAAATGTACCGTCGGGCACCAGCAGCATAGCTCATGGCTTGAGGTTGCGGTTGCAATGTCTCGGGTATACCCATTGATGGCTAGATTTCTTCTCTGACGAATGTCTGCGATCGACGAAACTTGAGGCTGGCGTGAGGGGAACATTTGGCGCAGATCATCGGAGCATAGTGGTTGTATCTCTGCATAACCTGGAGCCGAGCGGCAGGTTGAACTGTCGTGTGCGTGTTTTCGAGTCTTTTTTCAATAGTTGTCACTCCTGTGAGGAATTCTTGAACGGTCTTCGGTGGGTTTCTCATCAATCCCGCGAGAGCTCCGTTTTGACCCCTCGCATGAGGAAACCAATTTTCTTCTCTTCAGGACATGTCCGGGTCAATGTGACGGAAAAGGGGGGTCATTTCTTCTGCGAAAATGGCAACATTTTTATTTGGTAGCTGAACCCAGGTATCTAGCCAAGCAGCGACGCTCGAACCTTTGCAGGAATGCGCCGCAGAAGACATTCCATGTTTGGAGCGCAGACTCTTGATTTTCCAGCCAGGTCCTTGCGGTGTCTTCTAGGTAGAAGTACATGCGACGGAGCTTTTCTTCAGTGTCCCAGTGGTTGAGGGCGGCGACCTGGTCCTATGTCTCTAGCCAGCTCTCCGGGTCTTCGAACAATGACCCGCGGAAAGTTAATGGTTCCCTGGGTTGATGCATGATGATCGCGAGCTGTGATGCAGCAGGTTGTCGTTGTCGCCAGAGTCGAGGTCATGGCCTTGGTCTTTCGCGCCTTGTCTTGTAGAGGCCTGTACTCCGGTGGTAGACCCTGCTGATGCAGGTGGTTTGTTCGCTGCTCCTGGTTGGCGTCAGTGTATTCTCCGTGACGTGGGCTGGGTTCATGGTTTGACGGGGGCGTCCGGTACATGAACGAAGCTGCACCTCCACCAGATGTCACGGGGTGGTGACGTGGCTGAAGGCAGGAGACTGGATGGTCGGATAATAAACTGTTTATTCGGGCCTAACTTGTGGCCACGTAAAAGGAAAGTTAGATTACAGCAGGGCACTGGCACTGATAGCGGTGAGCAGAGCGTCGGCCGTCGATCAGCTGACAAGCGGCGAAGCGCGTCGGCATTTATACACTTGCCATGGAATGTTCTAGAGTTATCGCTAGCAACGCCCTAGGTTCCAGAATATTCTGTAATGTTCACGAAGTGTGCGTAATTTTAACAAAACTGTCTACTACAGCCTTGAAGCTTTTCGAACATCGTAGGTGCGGTTTGCGCTGAACGTTGTGTAACGGGGTGATAACAAAACTTGAGGAAAGGAACGTGGCAATACTTTCATTTTGAGTGTAACGACTATACTGGTGTTAATTTTTGTTTTTAGCTTAACCTGTGACTGCAGCTCAGTAGCCATGATTGCATTGCAGAGCTCCACTAGATCCTGAGTTCCTTCTTTACCACTGCGCCTGAACTCTAATGCATGTGCAATGCCAAAATTGTCTGCCATGCATTGGATGCATGTTAGGGAATTCCAGTTGGTCCAAATAGGCAGTCGCATAGCCTGAGCACATATAACCCAGAATGTAGTCAAACTTTTTTCAGGTGCATCTTCTGAATGAGAACTTGCTTGACTTCAATCTTATCGGGACACTTCAGGTTGCACAATGTTGCCAGTTGGCATACTTACATTCAAATGTTTGTTCTCAAGTGCTTTTGTAGGAGTGCTTCATATTCGGCTTGTCCAAATTTGATGCCCCGACTGCATACAAATGCTTGGAATTGATGGCCCTCTTTTTTTTTTCTAGGTTTCCATGTTCTGTTGTTTCTATGTGGTGTCATCAAGTTCCTATAATGTAGGCAACACTCTCACTTGACTGTGGTTTTGTCTTTTCTCTGCTCTGCCACATAAATGCACGTTACTTGCATTGCGTCTGCTTGCTCAGTCTGCTCAAATATGGCGAGAGTGTGCTTTGGCTTGTAATTGTAGGATACGAGTGATCAGCCAAATGTATTTGCGTATCAATTTATGTATTTGTCTTGTGCTGGCATGTCTTACGTGTACCTGACTTGCTACCGAATAACAAGAAAAGAGATCCTTAGTTATTCCTTTTTACTTTTCTCTTTCAAGGCACCAAAGAAGGCATTTGCGGAGAGGCCCTTACCTGTCGGACGCACCAAGGCGGTCATTACGTATGTCACCGATCCTGGCAGGTTGATCTATCTGCAGCAGAGCAGCCTGATTCCTGAATTGCAGTCCATGATGCTGGAGATCAACGGCTCGGTTCCAGACACACCTGTGACTTCGCCAGTCCTTGGTGATGCAGTGTGTGCCCGCTATGCTGCTGACGGACTCTGGTACAGAGCAGCAGTGGTTTCCCTACCTCAGGATGACAAGTGCAAGGTGTCGTTTGTGGATTTTGGCAATGATGACTTCGTACCAGTTGGTGACATCAGGCCCCTTGCCGATCAGTTCAAGACTATTCCGCTCATCGCCAACTGTGTTGCACTACAGGGCGTCAAGTCGGTAGGCAAAGAGTGTGCAGAGCACTTGATCAATGCTGAGATTCAGTTTGAAGTTGTGGATACATCAAGCCAACCATGCAAGGTGAAGATTTATTTGGAGGATGAGTGCCTCAACGAACTGATTGAATGAAGCTGAGAAAAGTGCAACTCGGAGGACGTTTTATGTTATTTTGTGCTTTGTAATTAGTCCAACAAAAGCTATCTTTTTCTTTTGCAAAGAGTACAAATAAACTTTTTGAAGCAATTCAGGTGCATATTTTCTTGCAAAAAGAACTCACAAATTGTTCTGTGCTATTTAATAGCACAAACATGAATTTTCTTATACATAGACTATTTCTACAGAAAGCGAAACAATGTGGCCTCTGTTTTCTTCGACATCTTAGAGAGACTTGAAGGCAAATACCAGGTCAATGTGCATTGTCAAAATAACATTTCTATAACCTCGCAGTGGTTGTTTAGTATCATCAGAATGCCCAGTTTAAACAAAATCATATTTTGAAGGCCTCTCATAGTCCTACCACAATCCAGATTGTCTATCCCCTGGGCGAGGATGTGCGATGTTGCTTGTCGTACGACATTTGGTGGAGGCTGCTGCTATCCCTGACATCACCCTGGCACTTCGGAACCGAACGCTGTGACCAGTTTTATCAGCCACCATGACCGACGCTGCCAACAACCAGTCTGGTACCGCCGGTGCTATTTCCTGCGGCAGCCATGGTGGCGCCATCGAGCGGTACCGTGACCCTCTTATTTTTGGCTGGTACCGGTGAGGCTGATGTGGAAGCTTGGCTTTCCACCTATGAGCTCGTCAGTGAAACCACCTGGGATGACCCGGCAAAACTATGTGTTGTCACCTTATACCTTGCTGATGTCGCCATCCTCTGGTTTCATAACCATGAGCGTGAGCTTCCTACTTGGTCCGACTTCAAGACAGCAATTGCAGGAGTTTTCGACAACCATACTTTTAGAAAACTTCGCGTTGAGCAATGCCTACGCCAGCGTGCCATTGCCTACGCCAGCGTGCCATTGCCTACGCCGGAGTGCCATTGCCTACGCTAGCGTGCTATTGCCTACGCCAGCGTGCAGCGTGCCAGGGCTACATTGAGGGTGTCATAGATACGTGCTCCCATGTCAACGCCTCCATGAGCGAAGAGGAAAAAGTTAAGCATATCCTCAAAGGCTTCGAGGACAAGGCATTCCACATGCCTCTTGCGCAGAACCCTGTTTCGGTTGCCGCCGTCATCACTCTTTGCCAGGGCACCGACAAGCTGCGCCGACAAAAGATGCTGGAGTGCAGCGCTCTTGCATCCACCCCATCACTCTCGAGCCACACGATTGCCTCTAACTCATCACCCACCACAACGCTGTCTACCGAAATTAAAGATTATTCGTCAGGAGGTGCCACGCCAACTGTCTATGCTGCCTGTTACCGATGAGTCTGTACAGCAACTGATGCCCGAGCGGGTCTCCTTTCTCTTCTTCACTACACTTGCAACATCACCACCCTTCACTGCCTGTCAAAATCATGTTTTGAAGGCCCTGCATAGCCCTGGCACAATCCAGATTGACTATCCCCTGAGCAAAGATGTGCGATGTTGCCGGCATCATTGCCACCCTTTACTGCCTGACAGGTCATATGGTTCGTTGCTGAAAAAGCCAGTATAATGAGAAAGCGAGCTGATCACTACATGGATATGGGGTTTTCTTTCAACTCTCACTTGGAGTAAATTTTGCAATGAAGCAAAGCACTGCATGTTAGCAAATATATTTAAATGCCACAAAACCTTTCAAAACCCCAATCTTTTCCATGTCGAGTGGCTCAAACATGGCACCCACAACATGCTTCAGACTAGCAGGCCCATGAAGCATAGGCTTTTTAAATAGATCCCTGTTGCTTGAAGGGTATCTTGACTGGGATGAAAGTTTTTGTGCACCTAAAGAAAAATAGTGTAAAAATAGTGCAGAGGTGAACTTCTGTTTTGCTGTGCACTGCAGAGAAAGAGAGGTGAACTTCGTTAATTTTTGACGGACTGAGTGCAGTGCACTATTTTAATTGTTCATTTAATTATTGAGTGGTCGAGTTCTAGTGACAGAATGATACGGAGAAGCTGCTTTCATAGGTTTAGTACTGTAGAGAAGAGACTGGAACAACTTGAATAAAATAAGGCTTCTAGGTGATTTGGTCGCTTGGCTTACAGACTCCAGTTGTCCCTCCTCCGATGAAATGGTGTGTGTAAAATGTCTCACTGGTGGTGTAAGTTGTTGTACCTTAATTTTAATAGTCGAACCCCTCTATGAGGGACACTGACGTAAGAGACAAATGAGTATAAAAGACACCTGTGCACCTACCGTAAAATACAGGTTGATAAAAGATGTATACGTGATACCCAGCCTATAAAAGACATCTCGTATAAAAAACAAGAATTGCTGCCCGGAGCGTGCCCCTTATTACAGCTTTCAACTGTACCACAGTGTCCGAAGTGTTAACAGGATAGTGATAAAGAGCTCGTTTTGCAGAAATTCCTGTGTCAGTGTCATTGGGTGTGAGCGAAATATTCTCATCTTTGTGTGACTGAAATATTGAGCATCTTTGCGTGGATCACATATCTACAAAGATGCAAATAAAATAAAAATAATAAACAATTGTGGATCTGAGTGGTGATCGAACACTGGTCGTTTGCGTGGCAAGTGGGTGTTTACCACACAGCCACGCCTCTGGTTGTGAATACAGTGAAAATAACTTCCTCTGCTTGGAAATGCTGTGAAAGTAACTTTCATGCTTTACAAACTCATACGTCCTTTATATGTGCTTCGCAATACAAACCTGAAGTATTGCTGTAATAATGCATGGTACAAGCACACATTGCCATCGGGCGTCAGAACATAGGATTATCATAATGGCTTCATAGTTTAAAGCCAGTCACCCACCACAAAAGGCACACATGCTACTGCACCCTTAAGGCCATGTATAGGGTGCATATCAGGGAGGAAATAACTTTGTTAAAGAAAAAAAAGACTGCAAGATGTGGAAGAATCGTCTCCTTTCCCTAGGTGGCGGCCACGAGTCCTTGCGCTCTGGCGGCATCCTCGGCCTGCCGAAGGACTTCGAGTTGCACTTCTGGGTCTGCGCTTAGCAATGTTTGGCTTCAGAAAAGGGACGTTGCACTGAGACAGCACTTCTTGTTCAAAAAGAGGAAATATTACACAACTTTAAAATAAGGTCATGACACTGGGTATATTTCTAGATTTTAGTAAAGCTTTCGATCAGGTAAACCACTCAATTTTATTTGAAAAGAGAGACAAGGTTCTAGAGAAGGCTAAGAAAACAAAACTTACGAGCGGAAGCCTGGGTCTATCACTGAAAGCTTCTAGAAGTGAGGCAAATCATCCTATCTTTGTAAATGAACACCTTTGTCAGTATCTAAAGAGACTACTTGGTATGGCAATAGCGCGCAAGTGCGAACATGGCTGGAAGTTTGTCTAGATAAAAAACTGTGCCATTTTTTCCCGTCGCGATGAGACTTCATCCATCGTGGCAATAAAACACGAGAGCGATTTGGACAAGATTACCGCCAGAGAATAAGGATGCGCGCCCCCTGCACGAATTGTCACTTCGATTGTCCATATTGTAGAAACATGGATGCTAACTACGTGCTACATGAGGACATGCGTGGTATCATATCTGACAACCCAGAGAAGCTTTTTAAGGTTTTCCATCTAAATGTTAGATCCATGCAATGTAAATTTGATGAAATCTATGCCCTTTTAGAATCCTGCAATATTAGTTTCGATGCACTTATGTTCACTGAGACTTGGTACAATGAAAATTCGGATCACTTTGTTTTACCGTCTTACGATCATTTCTTTCTAAACAGAAAAAATTGTAGGGGTGGTGGAGTTTCTATTCAGGTTGCTATACCAGGTTTTGAAATTCTACCAGAGTTCAGCACTGTTACTTGTGATATCGAAGCCATTTGTATTAAGAAAAATAGCAATGTGTTCACTGTTCTGTACAGACCACCAAGTGGCAACATCTCGGCGTTCTTGAAGTTTCTCGATTCTTTACTTTCATGTGCCAGTGAAAACAGATGGTTACTAACAATAGGCGGTGATATGAACATTGACATTGCAAAAGGCTTGAGTGCGGCGAATGATTTTTTGCTTGTATTACAAAGCGACGGTTTTCAAAATCTTATACCAACACCTACACGCGTTACTCTTTCATCAGCATCTGTGTTAGATTTGTTCATTACTAACCGAAACACTGATGGCATTCTCTCTGGCGTTATCAACAGTGACGTCAGTGATCACCTACCTACATTTTGCATGCTTAACCGTAACAGTTCATTGCAACAAAGGGATTGGCCTCAGCTCGTGTACAGGGATATATCGTCTCAAGCGCTAGAGGTGTTTCGGGATAAGATTTCTAAAACAGATTGGAGGGAAGTATTTCTTCTTGAAGACAGCAATAAGTGTTACCACTTATTTATAAAAATTTTCAAAAAACATTATTTAGACTCGTTCCCATCACGGACATACCGTAAACAAAAAAGGGTGCGCAAACCGTGGATCACACATGAATACATCAATCTTATTAAGCATAAGAATAAGCTTTTTGCCAACTTTCTTAAGTCTCGTAACACGGAAGAATTAAAAGAGTTTAAGAAATTTCGAAATAAGTTGAATAAAGACATTAAAAAATCAAAAAACTAATATTATAAACGTGTATTTGACAACGATTGCTTGCGTAGTGGTAACAAAGTCTGGAAAAAAATTAACGAGTTACTAAACCAAGGATTATAGGATCCAAGAATACCAAGGATTATAGGATCGACAACCTCGTCATAAATGACAAAACGATTGGTGGGACCAAACTCGCCAACCTTTCCAACAATTTCTTTGTTGAAATTGGAAGTAGCACCTACTGTCACGAAGCTGCTAATCGTATCCCGAGACTATCCCACACAATGTACTTGCAGCCAACATCTGTCCCTGAAGTGACAATGCTGTATCAGAAGCTTAGGAACAGTCGTAGGTGCGATGTAGATGATTTAGAAATAAAACCAATAAAATACGTTACAGACTTAATTGCACCAGTGCTTACACACATATATGACGTCGCTATCTCTACTGGGCTTTTTCCAGGCAGCATGCAGGTGGCTAGAGTTTCAGTGATTTACAAGAATGGAGACAAACATAGCTTAAGCAACTATCGTCCTGTGTCAATATTGCCTATCTTTTCAA